CCAGTAGAACAGACCGCTGTCAAGGACTGTAATGACCGTTGCTAAGGACTGTAATGACCGTTGCTAAGGAGGATCGAGAAAGAGAAAGGAAAAGAGGTTAAAATAAAAAATAATCTTAATAATGAAATGTTTCCACTCAAATCATAATGTTTTGCAAATAATTTGGCAGCAAATATTGAATTTACATTTTGGGCTTTTAGATGAAGACCGCACACAGTTAATAAATATAACTATTCTTCTGGCTAAAATACATATTTTTAAAAGTCAATCAAGGAGTAATCTTAATTTAAGGTTTTTCTTTTGGAAACAATTAATGTCAAAATAAATCAAAGGCTGAACACGGCATGACATGTGAAATAATGAGCTCTAACGAAGAGTGGGATTAAAGGAACAATAAATACGCCATGTTGTGTTTTTGGTGGTTTTTGGTCATCAACCTATTTTTGTTTGTGAAATGTTGAAGTGATCCGACTGACTGTGTCTTTATTTCTTCTGTTTTTGTTTTGTTGTTGTCTGAGATGGGAATGTCATCTCCTATATGTTATTGTTATGTCAATGTTTGTGTCTTTAGCCTGTACAAAAAGAAAGCGGCCCACTTGCAATGCCTTCGCGGAATACTAGGGGGCCGCGGCCCACAGGTTGGGAACTGCTGCTATCATCTTTACTAAGCAGATACTGTTAAAAAACATTTTCATTTTCAACATTCGGAGGATCTAACATAGTATTTGACTGAGCGTGTATAAATACTGCAGTACATGGAGTCACAGTGAGTTCATGCATCTCTACGGACACAGAGTTAAAAACAGCAGTAAAGAATGAATAAAACCTTCATGCAGCAGCGGCTCGCCTTCATTCAGTACATGCATACTCTGTGTAACATACACACTCATCACACACATGTACATTTCACACACTGTGTTGTTACAGGAAGAAAATACTCTTTACAAGATTTACAAAATAAGTTTTTCCAAAGTAATAATAAAAAAAAATTAAGAAATTGTACAACTTCCTCATATTAATGAAAATATACAAGAAATATAATTAAAGGGGACCTATCATGCTATATTGGAAACATATATTGTAGGGTCATACCTATACAAAACATGTCTGTGAAGTTTTTTGCTTAAAATACCAAACAGTTCACCAATTGTAGCCATGCCTCATCCTGCTCAAACGCCTCTGTTCCAGGCCTGTTAGAGAAACGCGGATTTTGGGTCCTTAGCTTTAAAAAAAAAAAAAAAAGAGGAGGCGGAGCTAATGCCTGATCAGAATAGCAGATAGAATATCAGATAGCAACTCTCTGTGGGTCCGCCGCAGATTTGATGTCATATCGGCAGAAAATCTGGATCAGCTCCGTTGTTCCCCCGTTTTTAAAAGATTTGGGTACGGGGGAAAAGAGAAAGGGTTTTATTTTCTGACGCTGCGTTAGTTCCCCGACACACCGGGGGCACATATTGAAGTACAAAAGACATCAGAAAGTGCATTTTTCATAATAGGTCCCCTTTAAATAAAATTATTTTACATGTTTACAGGAAGAGACGCTAACTTTGAATCGGTCATCTGCGTTTGCTGGGACTCTGACCCGGATCCACCCTCAGCTCGCGGTAGTGCATCTGAAAAATATTACAAAGGAAATTCATTTTAAGAGATTCTAAAAGAAATGTCAAATGAATAATTAAAATGAATTATAATTATTTTGAATTTTTTTGAAAAATACAGAAATTATTTGTGAACATTTGACACAGTACATACCTTATTTTTTAAAACATTTTAAAATACACAAATTATTTATGAATAAATAGGAAAATACAGAAATTATTTTAGAAAAAATTATATTTCTGCATAAATATTTTCCTTTTGTGGGACAAATTAAATATCTGAAGTCATCAGGACTATTCACACATTATTTAATATTTTATTTATCAGTTTTCCTCCCCTCTCTGCAGCTACTCACCACCTGCACGTCGGAGGGCACTCTGGACAGGAAGTCGAGCAGCTCGTTGTTGTCGATCATGTACGGGTCGCGCAGCTTCTTTGTGAACTTATTCACACCTGTAGGACAACAAGTATTTATATTGTGTATTATACGTACTGTGTGTATCTGTGTTGTTGGTATTAGCAGCACTTTGTATATCTGTGTTGTTGGTATTAGCACTGACCCCAGATCAGCACCAGGTAGCGCAGAGGGACGAGGTAGAGGAGGACGACGGCAGAAAGCAGAGCAGCGATCGCCAGCCAGCTGAGGAAGGGGACCGTCCAGTTCACCGTGCTGCAGGGGGGGGGGGGGGGGTGGAACAGGGTAAAGGGGTTTATAGCATGGGGAAATACAGAAAATATTTATAAATACACATTAACCTGAACACAGATTAAAGGGGGTTTTCATAGCTTTGGGAAAATAGAGAATTTATGTTAGAACATTTTGAAATATAGATAAATTATTATTATTATTTTTTTAAATTGAGAGAAATATTTAAGTAATAAATTCTTTGTTTGAAAAATTTGAAAACACAGGTTTTAAAAATACTTATACAAATACAACATTTTGAAATACTGAAACTATTAGAAAAATTACATAATTTTGGGGGAAAATCTGTGAAAATGACTGAAAAATATTTTTTGAAACATTTCAGAAAGAATTTTTTGAAACATTTTGAAAAATACAGAAATTGATTTAGAAAAATTAGAAGGATTACATAATTTTTTGGGGAAAATTTGAATCAAGAATATTATTCGGAAAAATACAGATTTAATATTTCAAAAATTCAGATCTTTCTTTCGAAACATTTTTTATTCTAAATTATCGCTTAAATCTAAGAAATTCTGCAAATGACAAAGCCGCGTTACTGGGGGCTGACCTGCAACGGCCCAATGATCTTGCTTTAACCCCCTCATCCTCTCGAGAGGAAACCTCTAACCGTAAATAAAAAACTGTTTTCATTTCTTGGACGAAACCCACTTCTTGATCCTCTCTCCGTTCGACGCCACCTCGTCCAAAGCGTTCTGAACGCTGAAGAAAACGTCCTGGATGGCGTACAGTTTGTTCATGAAGCCTTTGTGCTCGGACTCCTTAAATAACACGAGAGAAATCAAAATGAAATCAGTAAAAGATTCTCGAATATAAAAACAGCTGATTCATGAAGACATACCTTATCCTCTTTATCCTCCTCTACATCCTCCCAGTCAAACATGGCCTCCATCGTCTGCAGCAGGAAATAAAACAGGTCACTCTTTGTAATACACACAATCACACTGAGGAAAATATAGAAGATTATTTTTTTTTATTACAAAAAGACAGAAATTATTTTAGAAAAATACAGAAATTATTTAAAAGAAATACAGAAAATATTTTAGAAAAATACAGAAATTATTTTTGAAAGAGAAATTAATTTAGAGAATATTTTTTGAGAAAACCTTAATTTTGCAAGCAGCAGGACCAAAAGCTATTTCCTGAAAAAATAGTAAAGAAAAACGTGACATTTAAAATACATTTGTATTTATTTGGGCTAATGTATTTCCTGAAACATAGCATGTTACTCTTTGTCATACATCTTAAACCGAGCCGACAGTATATAGCTGACTCTGTTTCCCCGAATGCATTATTTTATCTGTTTTATTTGTTGTATCTGTTTTATGTCCTAAATATATTCATGTTGCTCTGCTGGAGGAGCCTGGGACTTCAGTTTTTCATTGCCATATCTACATGGCCGCCGCTTGCGAACAGGCAAGGCAGGCAACTGCTTGGGGCCCTGGACCAGAAGGGGGCCCCCAAAGAAGGTAGATTAAGAAGGTCCACAGCAACGACAACATGACACACCCTTTAATTTACTGCAACGACACGTCGGGAAACCCCCTCAAGGCGCCGTAAAATGCTGCTTCTTATCTTAAAGGGGACCTATCATGCAAAATGCACTTTTGTACGTCTTTCTACATGAATATGTGTCCCCGGTGTTCCAGGGAACTAACCAAGTGTCAGAAAACACAACCCTCTCTATTTTCCTCCATACCCAAATCTCTTAAAAAGGGGCTGCAACGGATCTGATACAGACTGATCCAGATTTGAACACTTCTATGACGTCACAGAAGTGGCGCTACGGCTATTGGGCCAACTCCACCAATCAGGAGGAGACAGCCATGGACATTGCCGTTGGAAAGCGCTGGAGACGCTGTAGTACATATGCCAGGCCTGTAGATGGTGCTGTTCTCACAGAATCAGCCCATGCAAAGACAGTGTTACATTGAGCGAAATGAGGAATGGCTAAAATGCATGATCTGTTTGGTATTTA